ATATCCTTTTAAAGAATGGGATCACATTACACAGAGTGTATTTCATTCTGCTCCTTTCACTTTACAATGTTTCTTGCAGATTTTTTCATATTAGTACATATACATGTACTTCATTACATTTAGAATACTGCATTTTTGGGAATATTCTAATGTATGACTGTTCCACAATTTATTTAATCACATTTCTACTGATTACCAACAGGACAGGTTGTTTTGGGGTTTCAGTATTATCAACTCTGCTGTAATGAACATTCCTGAACACACATCTTTATGCATGTGTACAGTTATACCTGGAGGAGAGATTCTGGAAGTGAAATTGCTGGGTCAAAGGGCATCATTATTTAAAATGCTGATTCTTCCCAAAGGGCTGTGGTAGGCTGAATATTAGCCACCCCTACCCCCTGCAAAGAAACAAACAAACAAAAAAACACATCCTAATTCCTGGAACATGTGACTAGGTTACCTTACATTATAAAGTATGGGACTTTATAGGTGTGATTAAATTAAGAATCTTGAGATGGGGAGATTATCCTGGAATATCCGAGTAGGCCCGATATATCTGCAAGGGTCCTTATAAGAGGGTGCAGGAGGGTCAGAGTCAGAGGAGACCATGTGAGAATGGAAGCAGAGACTGAAGGCCTGAGGCCACGAGCTGCAGCCTCCAGAGGCTGCAAGAAGCCAGAAGCAGATTGTTCCCCAGAGTCTCCAGAAGGTACCAGCCCTCCTTCGTGGTTCTGCTGGGGTTTGATTTTAACCTGGGGACTAAGTCACAAAACTTTGGTCTACTCATGGTCAAAACTGTAAGATAATAAATGTGTATTGCTTTAAGCCACTAAATTGGTGGGAATTTGTACAAGCAGCCGTAGGAGACAAACATACTCTCATTTGTACCAAGAGCGGTGGTGGTGGGGGGTTGTGTTTGATTCCCAAAATCATTCCAGACAGTAAAAATATACTCTAAACTTCACCAGTTTAGGATAGAAGTTGTTAATCTGTTTGGATTCCTTTGAGAACCTGAGGCTATCTATGAACCATTCTCTCTAAAGAAGAAAACACACACATCTATATGTGTCAACTATTTCAGAGAGACCATGGACCCCTGAAGCTTGTCCCTGGATCTCCTAAGGTTTTGAGGTTTCTTTTTAAGACTTCAGGTTTCCCTTCCCTTGCCAGGTCCCCTGAGGCAGGCTGAGACTCACAGCTGTGGTCTCAGTGTGGAAAATCTCAGGCTGCTGGGGCAGGAAGAGTCCTTGGGGGTCATCTGGGTACCATGCTCATTTTAATGATGGAGAAAATCGGGCTGAGGAAGTAAAACTAGCACCAGTCTCATGCCTCCCGGGCCTGTCTGCTCTTTGTCTGCAGGGAAGGAGGAAGGCTGGGGAAGCATTCTTGGGCCTGGCTGGGGTTTGGGAAACACCTCATGCTACAGAGGAGGCCAGTTTTCTTACCCAATCAACCATTGGCCTTCCCCAGAACCTAAGAATTAATTCTGGGTTCCTCTTGGGAGCCTGTCACGGGAGGGGCTACGATGGGGACAAAGGCCCTGCCTTCTCCTCTCTGGTTTTTGAGGAAAGACCCAATCTGACCTCCTGGCTGCCTGGTTTCTGTGACTGTCCCTCCCACTGGTCTCTTCTTCATCTAGGCCTTTTTGGATCTTGAATCTGTTGGAAAATAGTTTTGGAGTGAATGGGGAATGAGATCTTTCGAGATACACTTTGACCTTCCCTGGGGAGCAGAGTGGAAACCCAGGTTGGAGAGAGGGAAACGGGGCATCTGGCTGCAGAGGAAAACCTGAGCGCCTGGGGCTGGCTGGGCCCCCTTTTCTGAACCAGTCCCAGCTGTCGGGCGCCGACAGTGTGCCGGGCACTGCGCTAGGACGGTTCGTGCATGCTGTCATTTGATCCTTGCAGCAACCTGAGAAACGGGTTAACCACTGTTAGCTATTCTTATCAATAAGGGTCCTGATGTTCAGAGAGATTGAGAACTTGCTAGCGCCTGGCAGAGCTGGGTTTTCAACAGCCAGCTTTTATTGTTGGCTTTTGCCCCCATTCTTGGCTGAGGAGGGCCCCAGGAGCGAGAAAATCACCATCACCACCAACTGCCCCCAGCAGGCTCTGCCTCCATGCTGTTCCCCAAGCCTCATGCCCGTCCCTCCCTCTGTTACTTCCTTGTCTTTGCTCCTGTCATTTCTGCAGGGTCCCACCGCCAGTCCTCCCTCCCGCCCAGCGGAGCACAGCCACAGCGCTTACAGCTGACGCCCGACAAGCAGGCTTTCTTCCCCTCTTTTATGACGGCTGCTGCTTTAAGGCAAGGTACCTTGTTAACAACGATTACATGGGAAGCTTTTATGAGGGGGCAGGGGGACTGATTCATCCAGCAGACACAGTTGGAACATTTTTGACATGTCACCTCCTGTGACGGGCACAGGGGCTATGATGGCAAGATGGATGCTATCCCTATACTCACGGCCTGTGTCCATTCAATGGTCACACAACGTTGAATTATAATTTTGATAAGAGGCAAGAAGGTCAAGTACAGAATGAGTGGAGAGTATTTAACAGAGCAACTGAGACTTGGGCTTCAGGAGGAGGGGGTGTTTTAAGTGAAGACTGATGGAAGTCTCAGTCTGTGAAGACAGGGAGGTGAGGCAGGGTAGGGGGACATTCCCTGAAGGCAGGGGCAGGGCTGAGTGTCTGTGGGGACAACAGGACCCTGGGGCCCCAGGATGAACTGGAAAAAGGCCAGTGGTGTGGTTGTTAAATGTGTATTGTTTTCTTTTAAATTAAATGTACTGGGGTGACATTCATTAATAGGATCATATAGGTTTTAGGGTATAGATTTTTATGATCCAAGAATTATTGCATTGTATACTTGGATCCTCAAGTATAAAATGGGGATACTGATGGCGGGAGAAGTAAATTAGATGAGAATATGTGGTAGCCATGGATGGGCTGACCCTAGGCTGTCCCCAGGCTGTCTCGCCAAGAGTCAGTCCCCTTAACCATTGCAGCCACTAATGAGTCTAATGAGCCCGGCCAGTGTGGCTCAGCAGGGTGAGGATCAACCTATGATCCAGAAGATCAAGGTTCGATTCCTGGTCCCGGCGGTCCCGGCACATGCCCAGGTTGCGGGCTCGATCCCCAGCAAGGGGTGTGCAGGAGGCACCCAATCAATGACTCTCTCATCATTGATGTTTCCCTCCCTCTTCCTCTCCCTTTCTCTGAAATCAATAAAGATATATATTTTTAAAAAAGGTCCAATGAGCTTTTTTCCAGCTCAGGGCTGGGCCCCTTGCCAGAAAGTGTTTAAGCCCCAACCAGGGGTTCATTGATTTCCCCTTTTCCTGTTGGTCTGAAACTCCAGAAGGCAGAAATCCCTGGGTTTTATCCTGACTAATGAGGGTGGAGCTTAGGGGCCACATATTTTTAGCTCGGATAGCATCTCACAGCATATTTTCCCAGGGAAACCCTTCGCTCTCCCCATTCTGCCGGAAGCCCTGGGCCAGCCAGACGGTGCAGCATCTGGGAACGGCTGGAAACAGGCTGAGAAGGGGGCGCAGACTGAGGAAATCAGAGTAAATCAAACCAGATGGGCAGGGGGGACTGGCTTTGGGGGCTGGTTACCCTCCTCCTCACCCAGAGGGAAGCAAATGTGTCTTTGTTTCTTTCCCACCTCCGGCTTTATTCTCTTTAGGGGAACTGACGGCAGGATCAGAGCCAGCCCCCTCCCACCGTCTGCGGGGTCTGGAGCAAAAGTACCACATACCATATGTCTCTAAATAATCAAAAGTCCTAAATCACGCTGTTAAACTGTTATAAAATATGCTCTGTCTTCCTGATGACAAAATACACATTTATAACACAAAATAAAGTACACATAATGTCATGGGTTTTATATGACTGCAAGTTGGCAAAAATACCGAAGATAACTGAATTTAAATATCATTGCATATTTCTGAGTGTTCTGCTGTTGAGCCAGAGTTGCTTGAATGGGTGAAATAAAGACAGCTGTAATTCATAAATTAATATGTATTTGTTCTATATATTTAATTTTTCTTGCTTTTGTTTTAGCAACATTATCCTGTTCTTACAATCAAGATTCCACCCCCCTCCAGCTTTTTTGAGGTATAATTGACAAATAAAAATTGTATGTATTTAAGGTGCTCAATGTAATGTTTTTTTAAAAAAGTATTTTTATTGATTTTTAGAGAGCGGAAGGGAGAAGGAAGGAGAAATATCAATGAGAGAGCGGAACATCGATCTGCTGCCTCTTGCACGCCCCCTACTGGGGATCGAGCCCGCAACCCCAAATGTGCTCTGACTAGGAACTGAACCAGCAACCTTTTGGTGCACGGGCTTATGCCCAACCCACTGAGCCACACCAGCCAGGGCCCAATGTAATGTTTTGATATATAAATCCACTGTGAAATGATCACCACAATCAAGTTAATTAACTCATCCATCGCCTCACAATTACCGTTTTTCTCTCTCTCTCTCTCTTTTTTTTTCAGTGAGAACACTTAAGATCTCCTTGGCTTATAGATATTCATCTTCTCCCTCTGTGTTTACCTAGCAACTATGAGAAAATGAACACACAGTACAGCCTCTCCATCAAAGTGGGGTAGAACACATGAAGCGGCTGCTTGGTTCACAGGAACGCATGAGGGTTTAGCACAGGGCCCAGGCACATCGGGCCTCATTGAATATCATTCCCATTCTTCCTCCTAAAACTAGGCGCCTAGGGTGTCAGTTACACTCAGTGGGACTGTGGAATCCCTACGGGCAGGAAACAGCTCCTGCATCTAGCCCAGTACAAGTCAATTCGTAAAGAGGTGATTTCCTCAGTGAGAAAGCGAAACAAGCCATTAATTTAGGGCACCCTGACCTGCTGGCTCTTTTATCTTCTTCCACTCCGTTCAGGTTATTTTCTGTCATCCGTTTTAATGTGGCCTCCCACAAGGCGACAAGGACTGGAAAAACCACCCGGAATCAGGACCAACATGCTGTTTTCACCAGTTTGGAAGCAATTTTAATGAAGATGGAAATGTTTGTCAACTCAACACAGGTACTCCAAAATACAAAGCAAAATATCATCTTCAGCTGCATAGCAAATATGATTAAAGGATTTAACATCATTACTGGATCACAAGCGTAAACAGAAGTCACTATAAATAAATGTAAATTCATTATACAAAAATCCCCAACAACTCTTAATACAAATATGGTACATTTGACAGTTTCTGAAACAGATTTTTATTTTTATTTTTTTTACTTTTTAAAACCTAAGTTGTTTTTTTTCCTGGTTCTTAGACTCACAAGAAAAAAAAAAAAAAAATCAAAGGGGGGTTGTATAATATCAGGGAGGAAAAAAATTTTAAACCTGTTCGATGCTCATAAATAAATGCTGCTGGCAAGCTGGGGAAATGAGATGTCTCTCCCAAAGGTGAAGACCTCAATTTACTGGGATTGAATCTCTTAAGGATAATGGGATGCTACCCAGAGGGTCAAATTCAGGTTTATGAATGCTGGGCCAGAAGGGCGGGTTGCTGAAATAGCAATCTCATCAAATGGATGATCCAAATCTTCACAAAGGCAACAGTCAAGGATCTGGAATGATCTCTAGGACTTAAGAGCTGGTTATCTGTCTGAAAGAGCTACTATTCCCAGACAGGACTGAAGGTTCAGAAGGTTCTGGAACTTAGAGGTTTTATGTGGGTTTTGAAGGCCTGTTCTGTGTCATTCAACCAGAGCTTTTTCCTCTTGCCTTTGGGACACATCTATGGTCATCAAGAGGGAAAAATAAGAAATCAGAATAGGTAGTGGCACCTCCAGACAGGAGGACCTGTCAGCTTCCACCTTGAACCACTCTCCTTCCCAACGAATATTGATTTTCAGGGCTTAGAGGGAGCTCAAAGGCCAAGGTTAGCAGTGGAGAGGACCTACCTCTAAGGAGCGGTCCTCAGACTTCCATGTGCAACAGAGCTCAGAGAGCTTATGGAAAGTGCAGATCTTTCCACCTTACTCCCACAGATGCAAAATTAGTGGGTGTGAGGTGGGGCCCAGGAATGGCATCAAACGTGCTCATCTCAGGAGGCGCTGATGTAGGAGGCCCTGGGACCGCTCTTGGTGAGCCTCACCTCTCTCCTCCCTGGTGAGCATCAGTGTATCACCCAAACCTCTCGCTGTGGACTCATCTTTGCTCTTCCCATGGGGTTAAAATGGGCCATCTGATTAATGGTAACCACTTCCATCCACCCTCCCCAAGGGAGGGGGACATTATTCTATTTTTCTCTTTCCTTTTCCTCCCTGGGCTGGTGGGTAGGGGACATCAAACGTCTCACTTTACATTTTCTTAAAAGCTCAGGGACACAGACCCCCTTTGAAGATGGTGTGCTCTGTAATGAGACATTTGTTTCCGAAGGTTTCTGTCTTTCCATTCTCCCCACACTTGGGGGGAGATTCTGCTAGGAATTTTGGTTCAGTCTGGGAAATGGAAGTAGTTGGGGCCCCTGCGAGATATGCCCTGTACCTCAAAAGGTAAGTTCAGGAGCATTAAGAAAGCTGAGAGCAGAGATAAAATGTCTCAAGAATCTGTTTCTGGGACAATGGAAGTCCCGATTCGCTAAAACAACTCCTTTTCGCGGGTGGGTCTTGGTATCAAAGTGTCATTGACAGGTTTTATTTGGAACCCTTCACCTCCCTGACCCCAACGTTTCTGGCTCCTATTAAAATAAGCCCTTAACATTTTCTTTCATGTGGAGTTTTCCCTGATGAGAGCCTGTGCAAAGTGGTCCCTAATTCGCTGGCTGGCTAATGCTGTGGGCAGGGCACACCTGACTTGCTCCAGGCTGCATTCCCAGTGTCCATCGCCCTGTGCAGCTTGGTGATCAGCAAGGATTTGCTTAATGAATAAAGGAACCGTCTCGCCATCAAGCTGATGAAACTGTCTAACAGCTTTCTGCTTCGGGCTATGGATTTCTTGGCTGTGTTCATGAACACCTCTTCCGCCCACCGGGCCTGACCATCCTCCTAGTGGGATACAATTGTGAACATATATCTGAGTTCTAGGAAAGCCTCGAGAGGAGAGTTAGGATGTGGTTTGCAGTCCATGGAAGGCCAGGGCCAACACCATCTACCATGGTGCCGACACCAGAACCTTGTCCTGTTCGCCATGGCTCTCAGTGCCTGGTCCAGGAGTACTCTTGGTGGTAGAATCTCTGGTGTCCAGAGCAGGAAGAGATACCACCTGGAAAAATGGGGGGAGGGAGCCAGAGGAGGTGAGGAAGCCAGTGAGAGGAGGCATGACCATCAGGTTATGCTGATTTCTTGGGCCATGGCCACACTCTTTCCTCCATTTCTGAGGTCACACTTGGGCACCCGGGTAAAAGGTCACCATCTTGGAGGAGGTCTTGGGAAGTAACCACAGATGTGGGGTGGGGCCATGAGATGGAGAAAGGGTGAAACTAGGGCTCTTAACATAGCTGATGGAAAAAAGAAAGAAAAAAAAGCACATACTGCCCTATTTTTTTCGGTTTTTTTTGTTTTTGTTTTTTTCATTTATACTAGGGCAAAACCACCATGGAGATGTCATGGGAGAACATGCACAGGCCCAGCCCTTGGGAGGCATAGATGTGTTTGGGGAGGTTCTTATTGGCTTCCAGGTCTACCCCACATGCTGTCCAGTCAAACCCTGTTGCAGGGCTGGCCTTGGCTTTTTCTCTCCTGCTGCTTCATCTCCTCCAGGTTGAGGGTTTGCAGGACCTTCTGCCTAGCAGGTGGTGGCCAGGGACTGGTGGATGGGTGGCTGGAAGCAGCGCACGTGCTCCACGGTGGAACTGTCAGTCTCCACAGACTTCATGTACTTGTTCAGGATGGCAAAAACCTCATTGTTCAAGATCTGGTACTTCCTGATCCTGTCTGCCATTTTCTTCAGGGGCTGCAAAGGACAGGGTCATTCATGTTAGGGGTGGGAAGATGGGATAGAGAAATAAAGGGTGAGCAAGAGAAAAATTCAGCAAGGTTGGGGTCTAGGGTTGTGAGGCCTCAATGATCATGTCATTCTCTTGCTTGAAGGCCTTCTGTGGGTTCCCAGAGCTTGGTAATTAAATGTTAACTTGGCCACAAAACCGTTTGTGAGTTTCAAAACTCACTACAAAGCTACAGCAATCAAAACAGTGTGGCACTGGCATGAAGACAGACATACAGACCAATGGAATAGATAACCCAGAAATAAACTCTTCCATATATGGTCAAATGACTTCCATCAAGGGTGCTAAGACCATTCAGTGGCGAAAGGGTAGTCTTTTCAACAAATGGTGCTGGGAAAACTATACCCACACGCAAAAGAATGAAGTTGGATCCTTACCTTACACCATATACAAATAATTAGCTCGAAATGGAGTGAAGGCCTAAACATAAGAGCTAAAACTATAAAAAAACTCTTAGAGGATATCACAGAAAAAACCTCATGACATTGAATTTGGCAATAACATTTGAATTTCTTGGATGTGACACCAAAAGCATAGGTAATAAAAGAAAAAATAAGTTGGACCACATCAAAATTAAGAGCTTGCATGAAAGGGCATTCATTATCAACAGTGTGAAAGGGCAATCCATGGAACGGAAGAAAATACTTTAAAATCATATACCTGATAAAGGATTAATACATAGAATACATGAAGAACCCTTGCAGTTCAATAATAACAAAAAACAACCCAATTAAGAAGTGAACAAAGGAACTGAATAGACTCTCCAAAGAAGATAAACAAATAGCCAATAAGCACATAAAAAGATACCAACATCACTAATCATTAAGGAAATTAGAACCCAAACCACAATGAGATACCTCTTCACACTCATTAGGATGATTATTACCAAAACCCCCAGAAAACTGCAAATGCTGGGGAGCATATGGGAAAATTGGAACTCTTGTGCATTATTTGGAATGTAAAATGGTGCAGATCTATGGAAAACACCATGGTGGTTCTTCAAAAATTAAAGCTAGGAGTCCCCATGATCCAGAATTCCACTTCTGGTACATACCCCAAATAAATGAAAGCAACGACTTGAACAGAGATTTGTACACTCATGCTCACAGTAGCATTTTCCACAACAGCCAACAGGTGGAAGCAATTCAAATGTTTATCAACAGATGAGCTGATAAACAAAACGTGGTACATTCAGCCTTAAAGGGGAAGGACATTCTGAAACCAGCCACAACCCGCAGAACCTTGAACACATTATGCTAAGTGAGGATTCCACCTATACAACTTCCCTAGAGTAGTGAGATTCAGAGACAGAAAGGGGAAGGGTGGCT